CTGGTGTGAGGGCTGGGTTGTGCAGAGAAACAAATCCAGGGACACTCATCTATGGATAAGAAAGAGCTTTATATCAAGAAGTAATTACAGATGAAGAAGGCATCCCAGCCCAGTCCAACTGAAGTCCATAAGCCCGATCGTATTCCGTCAGTCCCTCTTTAGAGTCACGCAGCCACGTGCAGTGGTGCAGAATGCAGGAAGATCACACGCCGGTGGGTGCAGAGTCCTGTGGATCCAAGGTCAATGGATTCCAGCAGCTCTCAGGCTCCGCGGCAGAGCCCCACCAAGCAGGAAGGCACAGGGGTAGAGAGAGAGGGAGGTTCCTCGGGTCCTACTTATAAGACGGCCACACCCTTACAGAGGCGCCGTGACCCGATAGGCAGGTTGGATTTTACTCCTGTACTTTCATACACCTTCGAGTTGACCTCAAACACCTAACTACCACACCTGACAGTCTGCCTCTGAACCTTCTGCCACCGTCAACTGGAGGCACCCAGGTGGGCTTGGCCACGTGCGGGGGTCCCATGAGTCTGGGTCAACAGGACACTCACGGGTGGCTGTTTGAGAGCTGTGAAGGCAGGGCCCTCGCAGGGGTCCTCCTCACCAAGGAGAGACCAGCAAGGGCTTCCCTCATGCTCCCGGCTGCCGGAGGCTGGGGTCGGCCAGGACACGGCCCTGGAAGCCGAATCTGGCTCCAGGGTTAACCCAGCCTCCCTGTTTTCCTTCCCTCTCCAGCGGATTCCAAGGAGGATGCTGCCAAGTGGCTCTCTGGCTTGAGGATCCTGCACCGAGAGGTCCTGAATGCCTCCACGCCCACAATTATCGAGAGGTACTCAGCCCTGGCCCCTGTCTGTGGGTGTACTCGCCACCGGCAGCCACTCTGCCCCTTCAGCAGCTCAAGTGATGGGCCGGGGGCATGCTGTCCCCTGTCCCGTATACAGTCAGTGCTCAGGCCTGCCTGGGGACTCTGCGTTCTCAGCTAGGAGCCTCTGTGCTCAGACCAAGCCTCGCCCCTTGGGATGAGCCCCATGGGCAAACCAGTGGGCGGGTGGGGGAGGTAGACTCCGTGTGGAGGTGAGGGTGGGGGTGGGTGAGTGGGAGAAGTGAGGGCTTCCTCCTTCACAGCGGAGTCAGGGTAGTCAGATGTGGAGGTCTGGGTTTTCCTACTGGTCACTCTTTCCTTTTATAAATCTTTTTATTGGGTATTAGGGG